CCTGTTAACTAGATACCCACTGGTCCCATTGTTTCTGAGTTGCTTACCAAGAATTTGCTGGCTATGTGTTTAACTCTTTCTCAACTACCTGCAAATCTCCCATTCTCACTTCTGAAATCAAAACCTCTTTTCCTCTTTGTCTAAAATGTCATGTATACCTAATGTTGCCTCACTGTCTTTGGAATTTTCATGCTTATGTGAATCCCCATGGGCATGTATTAAAATTTAATTTTCTTCTGTTAATCTGTCTCTGTTAATTTATCAGCCCAGCTTGAAGAATGTTGAAGGTGAGAAGAAAAGTATTTTTTTTTTTTTTTACCCCCACATAGCAAAAATAAAGGTAGCTGCTGAGTTGAATGTAATCAGGTTTAATGTCTTAGGTAGATATTATTCTTGAGGAAAAAGAATCATACCCCATCATTTTATTCCATTTCACAGACAGTGGCTTCTGTTCCTACTTCACACCCACCAACAATAATGTTATCATAAATGAATGGAAGCATAATGCTGGGGTGTTCTCTACAGAGGAGATGATACCTCAATATAGTTTGGTGACACTATCTAGCATCCAAATGGTTCACTGTTGGAAAATTCTTTATGGCTAACTTTCCACATTCGTTTTGAAATTTGAATTAGTTAACCTTCTTTATGGTTTTTAGAAAAAGCAGAATATCTAAATGCTGTTTTTGACTGTAGATTATACAATTTATCAATCAATCAGTCAATCTATGTATATTCATATGCATATATATTTTTCCATATCATAATCTTCATTACCATTATCATTATTATTGCTATGATCAAAAATTATCAATTTTAGCAGCTACTGAATGGCACCAGACCTAGAATTTTCGGAGCATAAATGTCCCACAGTGTCTATTCATATGAATACTACATTTAAAAGAAAACAATTTTTAAAGCTTATTTATTTATAGTTTTACTAATCTGTCCTCTCACTTTTTTTCCCTCCTCGAAGGGAAAGATTTCATGTTTTTGTTAAGGGGTTCATAACTCTCTTTCCTTAAAGAACAAGGTAAATTTTACATTGGAATATGCTATCTTAAGAAAAAAGGTACATTTATTTTGTTCACATTTTCTCTTTAGCTTTTAAATTTTTGTTAAAGAAGAGCATCGATAGGTGAAACAGCTGAAGATGGTCTACTTTTTATTAACTTATTTTTGAAATATGGACTTACAAGCCTAAGACATATCTTTTTGATGCATATTGCTTGTCTTCCACAATCCTTTATTTTTCTCCTACTTCATCGATTGTTCATTTTCAATCTTTTTGGTTGGTTCTTCTTCTCCCTGTCCTCAATTTTGGTGTCTTCTTTTCTGTTTTGTTTACATTTATTTTCCTGACGGTTTTAAATAGCATCAATAACTAATAACTTCCAAATTTACATTTGTAGCCCAAACTTTTCTTCCAAACTTGACTGCCTACTCAATTTATGCTTGGATGTCTAATAGGCATCTCAAATCCAACATATCAAATGAAACTCCTGATCTTCAACCTGACCTTCCCACCTTTGCTAGTTTCCCT